TTGGGGGTGTAAATAGAATTTTCCCTAAAATAAATATTCATTCTCATAATTACTGACACTAATAATAGATTACTGTAACATTTAAATTTCGGATATCCTTTTATTTGCAAATAAATAACCAAAAATAAAATAAAATAATTCAAAATCTACCAGCTAGAAATCTTACTACTGCACTTAATTCGCTACGAGTCTCCGTCACAACGTTTCGCAAATAGCTCCAAACAGACTTTACATCGAGAAAATATTCATCTCAACCAACGGTCCATCCCCCTTTACATCCCCTCTATCTGGGTGGAGCTCCTCTGCCGTTGAGGAGTAACAGCAAACTTTGTTGTTAAGTGGGACGGCGCGTTTTGGCCAAAACTTCAGCACCCAGCAAATCCACAACACGACATCGTCTTCCACCTATACAGAACAAAGTGCAAAAACAGACTGCTCTTTCCCTCCAAAATCGACAACCAACCTCGCCTAAAAACATCTAAAAAACTCTCTGCAGAGAGCTTGTAATCACCCACAAAAATTCCATTGCTTTTTTCACTTTTTGTTTCTCACGAAATGTTGATATTTTATTCATAATTTTTTTATGAAATTCCAGTTCATAAAATTCATAATTTTTTTTTTAACACCATGACCCTGTATTCGTCATTGTCCCTACAGAACAGTGGTGTTTCATATTCAAATCAATTAAGCTGCATCTGAAAAGTGTGTTAGAAGTGTTGTGCTTCTTAAATTGTTATGAGCCTCTCTTAAATGAGTATGACTTGCCAAAAATGTTCAGTCTTGTAGGATTCATTTGACATGTTGGAAGTGGTATTATTCTATGGTGGAACAAACTGTGTATTAACTTGTTGGATTGCTTTGATTGTGTCATGTTTGATGCTATCATGTTGCGGGCTTGTGTTCGAGTTTTCTCTTCACAGCTGGCACTAGTGTTATATAGGCTCTTAGTGAAAGAACAACACATTCTTTGTTTCTAAATTTCTCCGATATGATTTCCTGATTTACATAGAAATGAGTGAAGAAGCAGAAATCAGGTACTTTATGTTTGAAATTTTCGTTTACCTTATGTCACAGTCACAGAGGAAGGAAGTTATGATACTTGTGGATATGAATCGTGTCCTTGTAGTTTATAAAAAACCTTTTTGACTTGAACACATTGCACAGCTTCCTTCAATTGTCTTGTAATTCTTTGTATAATATATTACATTGGGTCTGTGATATTGATATAGTTATAAGACTACCATCATTCGTTCTACAACGTTTTTGTGAGTATATTTTATTGTTTGATATATGAATATTGGTGTTTTAGGCTTTGGTGAAACTAAGTTATATAAGCTTTGATACATAAGATTTTCTTGCTGATAGGGAACATAAAAAATAAGTATATCCTTGTTCCATTTGTAATTGAAAATTTATATGGGGACCTAATCTTATATTTAATTTGTGCAACTGTTTGATTATTGTAGGGGACCTAATCTTTAGTGGAGATGGAATGTGTTGAGATTGATAAAGTAGACAATACTCCATGTATGAGAATGCAATTTGACTTGGAAGAAGATGCTTATAGGTTCTATAACAATTATGGTGGAACTGTGGGATTCAGTGTGAGAAAAGATTATCACAACAAGAGCTTGAAGGATGGTGTATTAATTTACAAAAATACGTTTGTTGTAAACAGGGACAAAGGAGTAAAGATCAAAGGGATTGGAAAACAACAAAAGCTCGGGTAGAGACTCGTACAAATTGCCCCGCTCACATGTGCATATCCCTACTCATGGGCATCAACTTATAGTTACTCAAATCCATTCTCAAGCATGTCTTCTCAAGCATCAAATTCTCAAGCATCAATTGGTTCACAAAATGCTCGGATAAATGTTGAAAATTGCTTCTTGGACAACGTTGTTGATTATTCTAATGAGGAGAATTGAGGTGGACAATGAATAGTTGCTTCTTCAAATTTCTTTTGCTATTTTGAAATGGGGATGGTGGATCTTTTGCTATGGTTGCAAAGAGTATTATTTTGCTATGGGGATTGTGGATCTTCTATTTTCTTGTCTTAGAAGATCTGTCATCCCTTTGGAAACACCTGTGCACATGATCTCATTTTTGTTTTTTTATGGAATTGACCTCATCTATGTATGATTCATGGTGTTCAATGTGTATTTTTTATCTTGGACAAGTAAATTTTTGTTATGTACCATGCACCAAAGCACCATGTTCAACCAACCAATACACCAATACATCATTTTCAACCAATCAATACGCTTCATTTCATAGAAAAGAATTACAATCAATAAGACAAGCAGACAAACCCTGCTCTGTCTTTATCCAGAAATGCAAGAAAAAACAAGAATTAACAAATGACAATCTTCTTCCTTAAAGTTTTGGTACCCCGCTGACATTGCTGCTGCAGCCTCCTTGCCTGATTTTTTTTTTTTTTAAGAAATAAAAAATTTTATTGAATAAAACTCAAAATTACAAGAATCAAAATAGAAACTGTTTTAGTGAAAAAACAGTAACTGTTTAACAGAAAAAAGAAAAAAAACTGTTACAGTAAAACAAATTTTCTGTTACAAAAAATGCAGACAAAACTCTTTAACTTCTCCTACACAACTGCACCATTTTGCTGAACTAGCTGAAAAAGGAACTGCCAGTGAAACAACTACTCTTCACCTTCCATCCTTCAAAATGTACTAAGGTAGCTTAGCAGCAGCTCATATCAAAATCCCATTGCTTGTAGCTAAACAGGCTGCACCAGACTGCATACAAACTGCACCAGACTACATAGCATCACAGCTCAACAGACTGCACCAGACTGCATGAATACAGCAACAGCTCAACAGACTGCACCAGACTGCATAGACTTCAACATCATCCTAACTTCACAGCATCACAGCTCAGAATTCTGAAAATTAATAAATTGGCTTTAATCCGTCAAGAGGACCAAAACCAATGTTAACTACAATTCTACATCTTCTGAACTTCACAATTAAGCTCCTAGCTCATTAAACAGCCCCCAGACAAGAAGCTCCAATCTTTACAAAATTGTAAGACAGCCTTTTAAGAATGACTGTGTGCGTGCTGGATCTTGCACAATATAAACACGAGAAAAGATCTCTCCCTTGGTGAACTCGAGTGAGTCAATCGAGTGATCAACCCTGTTGCTTGGAACAGCCTGTGAGGTCCGGTGGTAACCTGGAACGGTAATGGGAGACCCTCGTGGATCAACGGAACGATCCAGTAAGGCTGAGGAAGGTTCCTGGAACAAAGAAAAACAAATTAGAAGGGTGCTGGAGTGTTTTTCGGCGTATCCCCTCCGACGATCAAGTCAGTTTTTGAGAGAGAGAGGAAGAAGAAAACACTGAGTATAATTTTTAGCAAAGGTTTTTTGTTGCCCCCCCCCCATCTTGCCTTTTGCGAGGAGTATTTATACCTCAAAAACTCATGATTGCTGTCAGTGTAGTCAGTAGGTGATCATTAGGTATTGGCAATGTGCGCACTGATTCTGATGAGGAATGTTTTTTCTTTTAATTGTTCGGGATCCCGAGCAATCAATATTGTGTCATCAGGCTACCGACTGTCCAATGAGCTCCTCTCGGGGAGGATGCAATAAATGTTCAGCCTTAGAGACATTTATTGTCTTTCACTTCCGAGCCTTTCCGCATTGAATGCAGTCTCATCAAGGGAATGGTGTAATTAAATGTTTGCTTTCCCAAGTCGTGTGTCAGTAAGGGCATGCGGTCTTTTTGTCTTTGATGTGACACAATATGCCACGCGTCCATTCCTCATTGGCTGTGGCCCCTGCCTTCCTGTGCTTTCTAACACCAATTGTGTAAGACGAGGTCATGATAGCTAACCTAGCCTAGCCTAGGCTAGTGACCTGTACATCAATAGCCTCTATAGGAGCAGAGAACGCACCTTGGACAGAGGTACATCTCGGACCCGAGGGAGAAGTTCATCTCGGAGCCGAGGGGAGGTGCATATAGCGACCGATATACCCATATCAGACCGAGGGATACGTGTCGGTTCGTAAACGTACTGGATGCCACTTGATCCCTATGACAAAGTTCCTCAGGGGAGAGGGACTTGTGAACTGATGGATACGTAATCTCAATAACAAGATTTAGTGATACCGAGGACACGTGTCTTCATCTTAGAGTATTTCAAAAATATCCCATCAAACTGCTTGTTTGATTAGCTCTCTCAAAGCAAACAAAGGAACCAAATTTAGTATAGCTAAAGACAGTGGAGCATTAACTCACTTGTGCCTAGACAACAAAATCTAGACTTAGACCACCAATTTCTGCCCAACCAAAATCTCAGACAATACTAGGTATGTCCCAACGGTTCTCCAAATTATTCTCATGAAGTGTAATATAAGACTAGATCATTCAATCTCCATAACAATCAACAGTTATATAGAGGTATCCCAATTGTAAAAACCATCTGAAAAAACACTCAAATTTTTTCTTTTTTTCTTAAAGTGAATCAATTATCTTCCTTACCTCAATTATGTGGTCAACAAGTTCAAAAAACTAACAAAAAAAAATAATAAATTCAATTATACCAATATGGTGCCTCTGGCAGTGAATCTGATATACATAATTTCACTCAGACCAACAAACAAACACCTACACAAATGCACATACATATACATATGAAAATATGCACGGACAGAGAGAGAGAGAGAACCTTCTTGAGCTCTTTGTAATGGGCTCATGTTGGCAACCTCTTTGCGAATTTTGGATCGGAGAGCCCTATTTTCTGGAAAAATTCTTCCAACTGATTAGGATTGTCACCGTCGTTCATGGTGACGACGTTGCGGTGAGGGGATGCGTACGATAGCAGAACACAGTGAAGTGAGGAATGGAGAAGCCGTGGCCGATGCCATCTTGCTCGATAGAGTCATCAGATTCAGCACCCCCCCCCCCCCCCCCCCTCTCTCTTAGGTGGAAGACGACGTAGCGGGCTGAAATGCGCACAAATTAGACGACGTCGTTTTGTGGATTTGCGGGGTGCCGGTGTTTTGGCCAAAACGGCACCGTCCCACTTAACAGCAAAGTTTGCTGTTACTCCTCAACAGCAGAGGAGCTCCACCGCCCTCTATCTTCTGTGCTTCAGATCGGATCCGCAACAACACAGGTCATTCCCCCCCCCCCTCTCTCTCACTCTCTCTCTGTTTGTGTGAACTGGTACTACTGAAGCTGTGCTTCTTTACTCTGTCACGATCTTTTTTGTTCAGTTCATCTCACGCGGATCTGTGTCTTTTTTAGCCATTTGAACCTCGGCATTCTGTTCTACAGTTCTTTTGGTTTAATTTTATATAACTTGCGAGATCATCTCGACTAAGTTCTGTTATTTGAAGTTGATTTGTTGTGGCTAATCTCTTCACTTGAATAATGACATTTGCCGTTTCTTATTCATGATATAATTGTAGTTAGCGTTAGGGATTGCATATGTTTAGTTGTTGTTCGAATCTTAGCAACTTTTTAGAGGTCAAACAATAAGAGATTTATCTGTTATGAATATCCTAATTCTGTCGTAGATGACCTGTCTTTGACTTGATAGCGAGAGGGGATTAGTTGAGTGTGCACAAGTCGCAAGTTGGTCAATACATTCTTGACCATTAAACCAAAAAGAAAATAAAATGAAGTCCTTAAAATGCGAGGTTAGTATGTGTGATGTTGACCTTGGATTGAATAGGCAATGAGCCTAATTATTAGGGTCTTTCGAGACACATAGTCGAGTCTTCCGGAAGGGGCCACCTGCACAGGTGTTGATCTAGATTTTTACAATGCACAGCTCTTATGGGGTGGGTTTTGCACCAGAGGACCAGTAGGATGCTCTAAGAGTTCGGGTATCTTCATCACAGAAAGGAAATATAATAATCAGGGACATAAATATTTGTGACAATGCCCAATGAAAAGCAAGGGTTCATGTAGCTATGAAAATTCTTGAAATTTTGTTGTCTTTGACAATCAATTCATTTTTCTTGGCATTCTCCGACGGGTTAGTCCACTAATCACGGGTTATTGGATTTATATAGAAAGAATAGGTCCATGAATAACCTGAACAATTTCATGTGGGATGGGTTGTTTTATGTGTTTCATTTGTGGTGAATGTATTCCTAAATTTTGTGGCAAGATCAGTTCAAGGTCAGAAATTTGGTTGAGTTCTTTTGTGCTTCATATATGCTAAGCTCACACAATTTTGGTTCATTATCTGCTGGGAAACATGAGCAGGGTTTGGGGGTCCTTTAAGAAAAGTTAAAGTCAAAGATCATGGGTCGTGGAGTTAGCTGTGGCGGGGGACAGAGTTCTCTTGGCTATCTTTTTGGAAGTGGAGAGGCTCCGAAACCTACCATCACAAACAATGCTGAAGCTCCTCAAAACCCGGGACAGGTTGCAAATAGTGGCCCTCCTCAGAAGCCAGATGCTGCTGCACCACCAGTAGATGTTGGTAAACAAATTCCAGCTGGAATCCAGGGAAACACTGCAAACAATTATTTCCGAGCTGATGGCCAAAACACTGGCAACTTCCTCACGGTATGCTGTTAATCACAATTATTTTTTCCTGTTGGGTTTTTTAAATCTTCCTTCCTTTCGAACTTGTATGTGTTTGTATGAATGCCCACATTTATGTATAGTAGAGAATGGCTAGCCATAGGCTTCAAATAGAGATGTTATGCATTTTTAGTTTTCTGGAACCATGGCCAAAGGATAAGTGGGGGTGGATTGTTTTGAATCCAATGAACTATAAGGATCTACAGATGGTGTACTTCTGTACTATTTTCTCGACTTATTTTTTATATTTGGGATTTTGCACTGTTTCTGGGATATTTGTCATAAATTAAAAATTAACAAGCAAATAAATCAGGAAGTCGGAGCAGTATTAATTTTAATTTTTTGTGTTGATTGATTATTAATCACTCAATTATGTTGGTGATTCAAAGGCCCAAAGCATGCACACCAAATAACCCAATTGGATTGTTTGGTTGCCTTGGTGCACTTTAATCTATGTTATTTGTCAGGTTGCTGATAACCATGAGTTGTGGATGTGGGATGTTCAGATAATGAACATGAGAGAAACAGTGACTTTGATTGAGTGCTCAAATTGATCAGACTAGATAGTGTGTATTCGGGATTTTTAGATGATGGTAAGAAAAAAAATTGAGACATTTAAGCTTCAGGTGCTGTAGTCTTGGAAGTTTTAATAGGTGTATGATCTTCTTTGGGTGGTTTAATACAGTAGAGATGTGATCAGCAGTTGACCGATGCAAGTTTTTAAGTACTGGTAATATGCTGGCATCCCCGAAGGTGTATAGTCAGTAACTTCACAGTTTAAGTACATTATTGGTGACCAGGGTCTACTATGATAGGCCCCGCCCAGCGGTCACTTGCTTTAGGTTTTCTTTTCTGGACACTTTCTTGCCAGTAACTCCCTTAGCTATCTAGGATAGTTTTACTTGATATGCATATCTTGTCTCCCAACATTTCTCAACCATGATTTGCAAAAATGAGTGAGTGATTGTGTAGTCTTTCTGACAAAATGGAGGGTTCTATCGTTAAAGTTGGTATCAGGGGGATCATTTTTTGAAGTTTTACTATTTCCGTTTTTGGCTTGAAGCGAATTTTGATGCGCACAAAAGGCTCATTGTTTCGTACCAATGTTGGTCGTGTATACATTTTTTGTGCCTTACACATCACTCTAGTGGCTTCATTGAGTTTTTGTCCCACAGTTTCAAGTTTGACTGTGTTTTTCTCCTCAGGATCGGCCTTCTACTAAGGTCCATGCCGCTCCGGGTGGTGGATCTTCACTGGATTACCTGTTTGGTGGTAGTGGCGGCAGCAACTAATGCCCGGTGCCTTCAAGGATGACACTGCTCACTGTTTGTCTGGGCCCCATATAAGTTTGGGACACAATACTTCTGCTTTAGTTACTGCAGACATCCTAAAATTGAATGGAATTTATTGCCTGTCTTCCATTTATTAAAGAGAATCCTTCTTTACTACTGTGTTGGAATGCATGTTCTGATTTACAAGTCAGATCTAGAGTGACGATAAATACTCATTTGTAAAATTCTTCGGATTGGGGTATTAGTTTTGCCAAAATAGAAGTGAAGTAACTATCATTTATCTTTTCCATACTGCGCTATAAATGAGATCATTGGACATTGTGCATGGCTTTTTATCATTGTTTCACATAGCAGGCAGGGATGATGTTTGGTTTTAGCACCAAGATTTTCATTGAAATTGTCTCACAAAATTGGTTGTGCTCGTGGGCAGATGCTGGTTCGGGGGACTGGTTGGAAAGGGCGAGCTCTTAGGACCCAGTTGTTGGGGGTTGATGTGAAGGAGTCCCACTATATATTTGCTTGCCCAAGTACCAATCTTGGGACAGTATTGACAAAAAAGGATTGGTCCTTCACTTGCCATTTTTTGTAAGTCTGACTGGCTGTCTTGCCTTGACTTCCAATCCCTCGCATGAGTCGGACTCCTTCACTCTTTTGTTTAAGAGATCAATGGTTCTTCACTCTCTTGCTCACTGTCAAGCTGGTTAACTCCAACAACAGTTTGATATCCCATTAGCCTCTGTTCCTGCAAGACTCGACGTGATTTTTTGACTACGTCATAAAGAATCACCAAATCCCTAGTCCTTGAAAGCTCATAAAATGGCAAATTTTAACATTAAAAGCAAGTTCGAACTTTTTCGTTACCCAATTCTTAAATTTGTTTCCGGGCAAGCAAGAAAGCAGTCCTTTATAAGTTTGGCATTTCCCAAGTGACATGAAACGATAATGCTTCTTTTATGTATCTTTTTTTTCGAAACAAGAAGCTATTTTGTCCAAAAAACTAAAACATGTTTAGTTACTATTTTGCAACAGTAATCAAATTACATCTCCTCTTTCCCAAAAAAAAAAGAGTTACATCTCACATGTATAATTGACACTCAATATGCATGCATATGTATATTACAACAGTCGGACAAGGAACAAGCATGAACACAAAAACAAACGTCACTTTTAAAAAAAAAGCAAAAATATAAAAATACCAACGGTAATCAGTTACAGTGATATGTACATGGTATGAAACTGGGGAGAGCATCCGAGAATCATCAACAAAATAATCACCACAAGGGCGAATCCTTTTTCCTTTTCCCTACTACATCAGCTAGTTTCTGTAAATTTTAACAATCCATTAAAGGAGAACCCCCCCCCCCCCCCAACCCCGAAAACCAAAAAAAAAAAACCCAAAACCGGGAGAAAATGGCCCAAGTCTGACAAGAATGCTGCAAGAGGGTGTCAGCCATCTACTGGGGCGGAAAAACTGACGGGGCATGAGGATCAGAGGATACCACTAGCAGATGAAAGTTTGCCAAAGTATAGACATTGATAAAACCCCCAAGGGCAACTTTAGATCAATTTCTTCGCTGCAAAAAGAGGAAATATTACCATTATAATTAGTCAAGTCTATTGCTATCGTAACAAACCATAACAGTCGCTGTTTTTTTAATGAGAAACTTTTCCCTTCTTGGACGCATTCAAATCTGAAGCAGTTACAGTACAAAAATATTGATAGCACATGAAATGCACAATCAGAGTCAAACATGGTTAGAACTGATATTGCTGATATAAAAATGGGAATACGAGTCAATGAAATCCCACCAGTCTGAAAGAACAGATTCTATAATCACCGGTCAACAGCATCTGTGATCACCATTGAACAAATGCACAAATGACCAGTGTTGCACATTGAGATATGGCCTAAAATGATCTCCAAAAGCATTCTATCAAATTTCTGCCTGAAACTGAACGTGTTACGTGATTCTTCATCGCTGGTCCATATTCTGGTCAATGCTCAGTCACCTGCTACAGAACATTCGGATGAAAATGACTTCACACGTAAAAGGCCTAGACAAAGATTTAAATCATAAAATTAAATTGGCATTGTTAATGATATTTACCAAGCACCATAAAATTCTATTGTCCACCAAAAGGGAGATTGAAAACGAAATTAATTATGACATTAAAAACTAGTGGCTAAAACCTTAAAAATGTGACATACTTAGACCTGTCACAAAAGATAGAACACCATAATCAGTGCAAGGAGCATGAAATTTATGTATCACCCAAGTGAAAGCAAACATCTGAGTACAAAGTTCAGTACACTAAGTGCAGGAATGCATGTGATCTATTTTGTCATTCATGTATACATCTCTCAAGTTTTAGGGAGAATTCTACAACATTGTCATTAGATTAGCAATGCTGAATAGTGCAAAATGCAAGATAATTGAGAAACATGCTCAAAACATTTAATATAGCGAAAATGACAATGCTAGATAGATGCGTGGTAGAACTAGATAGGATGCCTTGAAGCATGAGTACATTCGTGAGACAGTATCAAAGGAATATAAAACTAAGTAGCTTGGATATGTTCATCAAAGACCTATTGCTGCGACATTAAAGAGGAGTGATGCTACACCTATCAATAATAATGTGAGTAGAAGTAAATTATCTTTGAAAGAGGCACAAATATACATAAGCACATGTTAAACAAAAAATATAGCCATAAATAGAAATAAAATTTATATCACTAACACTAACTAGTTGGGACAAACTTAGTTGAGGTGAGTTGAGCCTCATTAATAACTGCCGTTTGTAAAACCCTTACAGTAATGATTATCATATATCATCTATGAAGATGACCCTTTTTGAGCTGTGCCTATTCGGCTAGTCTAAGTCCTTTTCCCCACCGCCTCCTTAGAATAAGAAGATAAAAAATGTGTTAGCATTGGAAGACTTATGTCACCTTTTAAATTTCTAGGAAAGTGCTTGATTTTCTATATTTAGGAAGATTAGGAACTTAGAAGCATGTGGTTTTAATTAATAAGATAATCTGTCTCTCATTCTCTTGACGTCTATGAGGATATCTTATCAAGGGATCCTATGCCCCACCATCACTTCTCTACTAATTAAGATTCCCAAGAAAACAATTAGATTCCTAAACATTATCAAGTACATACATACATACATATATGTGTGTGTGTGTGTGTGTGTGTGTGTGTGTATCCGCCAGTGCACAACCGGTTCCATGCCCGAATAAAGGAAGAGAGTTGTGTAGATAGCTGATAGCCAGCATAAAACTCAACAGACCAAACCTGAACATTTATTCAAAGAACATTCGCGTATGCGTTGCGTTGCACCTGCACCCAGGCATTTTGAAAATTGGGCAAGGGGCGCCGTATTCAGTCGCCCGAATGCGGTGAAAAATTCACATAGGATTTCTGCATCAACCTAGATGAGCGAGGGTAAAGAAGTTAGCCCAGGGTACTAAACTTAGGTTAGCAACTTGGATATAGGAACACTAGTACGTAAAAGAATGGAGCTAGTTGGGACCATGATTAGAAAATAGAACGTGCTTTACAAGAAACTAAGTGGGCAAGGGCTCAAGCGAGAGAAGTAGAGAATACCGATTATAAACTTTATTATATAAGAAAAGATAGACATAGTAAATTAGTAATAGAGTAGGAATAATAGGAGATTCACATATTAAACAAGAAGTCATAACATTTCTTAGGAAAGAAGAAAGAATTTTGGGAAGTATAATTAATATTATTATTGCATATGCACCTTAAATAGGATTAAATAACTACATTAAAACTCAATTTTGGGAAGATATGGATGAACTAATGAAAGCAAATACCTATAGGAGAAAGAGTATATGTAGGAGAAGACTTTAATGCCTACATAGGAAATGATTGGGTTTGATACAAGAGGGTACATGATGGACATTGATTTGGAGATAGGAATGCTGTTGGAGATTCTTTCTTAGACTTGCTATAGTGTATGATCTTATTATAGCAAGTACGTATGTTAAAAAGAGGGATGAACTTTCAATAACTTTTAAAAGTTGATTGAATAAAAGTCAGAAGATTTTTTCCTAACTAGATGAGGGGAGATCATAGAATATGTAGGGGACTATAAAATCATTCCAAGCGAGAGTGGAACTTAGAAGATGAAACAAATATAATGTAAAATATGATGGTAGAACATACTGAAAAAGTAGCTATTGAGGTTTTTGGAGAATCAAGAGGTAATGAAATATTAGGAAGAAAAACTTGGTGGCAAAATGATGAGGTCCAAATTGAGGTAAAAACAAAAAAGATGCTATAAAACTAAAAACGAGGAAAATTTTAAAAGTTACAAACTTGCAAATAAAGAAGTAAAAAAGAGGGTAAGAAATATTATGTACAAAACATATTACGATCTAACAAAGTGCAATTCCCCGTTGAATAATAAAATTATAACGACTAAGAAAATGTCCGATGAGTGGAGGAAGTGTATTCTAATATCTATATATAAGAATAAGGGAGATATACCAAGTTGCACAAACTATCGTGGTATTAAATTAATGGGTCATAAAACAAAACTTTAGAAGAAAATGATCAAGCAAAGATTTAGGTTTGAAACAATGCTTTCTAAGAATTGTTTTGGATTTTTGCCTAGGAGATTAATAATAGAAGTTATATATTTACTTCAGAGACTTGATGGAGAGGTATCCAGAGAATAATAAGGACCTTTTGTTTTTATATACTCAGAGAAGTTATATGATAGAATTCCCACATATATTATGAAAGGTTTTAGAGAAGGAAAAAGTTACTGTTAGGTAAACTGATGCGATTATGAATATGTAGTGATAGAGAACAGTAGAAGAAAGTAATGAATTAACAATGTCCGAGTCCATCTTTTTTTGTATTGATTATGAATGAATTGGCTAGGCAAATTTCAAAAGAGCTTTTCTGGTGTATGTTATGTGTAGACGATATTGTATTAGTTGATGAAAGTAAATAAGGAATTACTAATAAGCTAGAAATATGACGATAAACTCTAGAATCAAAAGGATTTAGGATAATAGGACTAAAACTAAATATATGGAATTTAATTTTAGTAAAAGAGGGAATTGGAATCGAAACCAGAACCAGAAAGTAGTAAAAATTAAAGATTAAGAGAAACCAAAGCATGAACACCTTAAATATTTAAAGTCTATTATTCGTATAGAGTGTGAGATTAGGGATGATATTGCTCATAGAATTAATGTTGGATGACTAAGTGGAGAATGGCATCCTATGTGTTATATGATAGACATATACCACTTAAGATAAAAGAAAAGTTCTATAGATAGACCATAAGTCGCGCTATGCTTTATGATACTAAGTGTCAAGCAACTAAGAAACAACATATTCAAGAATTGAATGTGGCGAGAATGAGAATGCTAATATGAATGTGTTGTAAAACTAAAAAATATAAAGTAGGAACGAATATATATATGAAAACATAGAGGTCGCACATATACGAGATAAACTTAGAGAGAATTGACTTGGGTGGAGTCAATTTGTCATATTTATAGATGGCTTACTATAGAACCGGTGAGAAAGAGTGATATGATAATGATTGGTAGTAAGTGTAAGGGTAGTAGAGGAAGACCAAAATTAACTATAAAATATTAAAGACATGATAACTTATGGTCTAATAAAAAACGTGGCCCTTAATAGAGCTAAATGGCGAAACAAGATTCATGTAGTCGATCCCAAAAAGGTTGGGACAAGACTTTATTGAATTGAGTTGAGAAATCTAAGAAAAATAAATCTAGGATATTTCTTGTTTTTGAAAAGCATTAAGAAATATGGAAACCAGCTAGACATATTGAAGGAAACTTCCTTACTAAAAATAGCCAAAAAACTGAAAACCACAATTTACTTGTCATTAGTAACTCACTTTTCTGTCTCATTTATGTTTGGTGGTCACCTGACCAAATGATAATCTGAAGCAATTCATAAGTACAAACTGGTTGGAATACATGTTTTGGACTCTCTCGTTTGCCATTCTAACCTTGATGAAGACAAGATTCAGCTGCGTAACCTAACTGCTTTACCAGCAAGCTTGATGGTTCCATCATTGCATCTATATCCTTTAGCATTCAAGTCCAATCTTAAATATTAAGCTACAAACCATCCCTCATAATTTAGGACGAAACAAAGATTATATAGCAGTAGCATCATTGGGCTTGCACCTTAATTTCATCCAAAGTGACACAATCCTTGGCTGCAGCTGAAGTATTCTCTTTAGGGTCTTCAACACCAGAATTTTGTGCATCACTGGTCTGATTATCTACAACTTTCACAGTTGGTGATATGGACAGTTTTAACTCTCCATGGACCTGCAGAAGGGAACACATTGAAATATGATATCAAAACATTCATCATTGCACATACCCCTCCTAGTACATAAAAAATCAGTAATGATTAAAAGATGTATCTTATTGTCTTGCACGGTTAGAAAGCAAGATGGGCAAATTTACAAAGAATGCTCACTGAGAGTTGAGATAAACGAGTTGCTCTTGTAGCCACAGCCATGGCTACTAAAAGGTATGTGAAAACAAAGACTTTTGATGCTTGTATGACAAGGACAAAAGAGCGAGAACTTGCACAAGACTGCTCACATGATCGTATGCAGATGAGACCAAAAAAAAAAAGGCAATTTGGTGTGATTAGTTTACCAAAAAATGGCACAACTTGCTCAATCAATTGTTTTCTAAAAAAATTTTAGGTCCAGCCAATTCAATATTATCTAACTCGCCCAACCAACAATTAAATTATATCTACCATTGTCTAGTGCAATGGTAAATTGTTTAAGTTGTGATTTCAAAAGTGAATGCAGACAATATGTGCATATGACACCAAAGGTCAAGTACATACACAACCCATCCTTCCCAACATCCCTCGTAATTGGGACACAATTCATAATGGTCTTTATCTTGTCCATTGACAAGTTGTTCATTTATTTAGTAGTTGCTTATCTTGTAAAAGGAAATGTTATAGTAACAACCTGATTTATCAGCAGGTTCAGTTTTTCTATATTTTGTCAAACCATCCGATGTGTTTCACAAAACGTATTCCCAACATACATGCAGAAAACACCATTTTGGTCAGAGCATTTCAGGTTAAGTTCTTTCCAAACAGGAGAAATTAAGTTTACCACCATTGACTTCCCAGCATTAAGTTCTTCTCATGCAACTCCAGGCAGAAAATCACTATGTTGGGAGAATATCTCTGATAACCACAGCATTAAACAGAATGTACAAGCACAGCAAAAGTGTCTAGAAGCACAAGCAATTATTTGACAGGCTAACACGGAAATGGATGGCCCATTTTGATTGTCCTGCTCTGAATTCTATACACATACAACAAGGTCAAGAACTATGAGCCAGAATACATGAAGCCAATTTGGTCTTAACCGCAAAAAAATTTCAAGATCTATTATTGTAGACTTGACCAGAGGGCGGCATGTCTGCAGGATGTGGTTGCCAACCAGTGAGATGTGTACTATGCTAAATAGAAGTTGGATCTCGGGTCATAATTCAGTTGACCTTTTGGAATCTAACAAAAAACCTGGTGTAATAGAACATGCAGTGGGACTTTTTTGGAGAGAGAGACTACAATGCACCCCTTATATGGCAAAAGCAAAATTTCATACTAAAAATTTATTCCGTCTAGGAAAAAGATATAAGAAATAACCTCCAGGGGCATAGAAGCAGGAGCAGCTTCCATCTGGGGCACAGGTGATATGGACATCTTATGAACACTATCCACCTGCATGTCAGTTATTACATCCTGCTTGAGAGATCCAGCATTTTCTGACCCAGAATTCTGATTATCATTCACCTTAGTATCACCAAGTTCCACAGGATACTTTTTCCTAATTTGAGAGCACAGTACACTTTCGAATCAGAATATGAATGATAGGTTTGTAGCCATAAGCTATAACATATTACGTGTTGCAACAATCAAATTAAGAACTATATAAGATGACCAGTTCTTACTTAGTGGAATCATCTTCAGCTGTTTTTTTAGAGCATGGTTTGTTAGAAAACAATACTCCATGAAGTGGCTTCCCATCTATCACAGTTTCAATAGTATACCCATTTGAAAGACTTTTAGTAACCTTGGCTTGGAATGTCCTCTTGCCTAAAGGCGACTGATATTCATTCAAGTAAATATTCTGTCTGCCTGCATGGAATAATGATCTTTAGATACGCTGCCGATGTCCTTAAAAATCAAAGTTAAACACTGTTGTGACATTTTCTCAAGCTATCTAAGAAACTTCTGCTCAATGCCGAGTGAGAATATAATGTGGGACGCTCAAAAACATGCCAAAACTACAATATAAGGGTACTTTTATGGACATAAATTAGGACCATAAATTAATAGTTTCCACATCAACATGACGTCCTGATTCAGTACCCCAATCTTAACCAGAAAATCATGTCTGGTAGAATGTTTGACCAAATCACCCCCAGATATCCATTTACAAATACAAATGCTAGACAAGAACCATTTGATCATTCCATGCAAACTCCACTGCTACATTCAGTCAAATGCCCAAACCTTACATAACAAACTTAACATGCATCTCCATGGAAAATTAAATTTGACAAGACAATTTTAATTTTTCGTCTTTGGGATATATAACATACATGAACCCATATCCCTACTAAGGCTCAAATCCTGCACCTCCTTTGGGAGGAGCAGGTATTTTAGCCAAAAGCTGGCAGGATAGAAAAATTTCATAACAATTTCCTCAAAGAAATCTTCCCAGTACTGTCTTGGTGCAGTATACCATTCTCATTCCTCCAAACAATAAATCAGCCACAGCATTCCCTGTGTGATATTCCAACTCTATCCAAACTCAACACCTTCAGACTTAAATTTTCATAAACTTTTCCCTTTCAAAATGTATATACTCAACTCAACAAACCTTTGTCCCACTACTGGGAGTCTAGGAAGCACGGATACTTCCCACAAGGTGCCGTGGCAGTATCGGACACGAGTCCAACACAGGCACGGCCGGACACGTGTCCGATACGGCTAGAAGTGTCCTGCATGGTTAACTCAGTCGGACACAGCCAGGATACGCCTAGAACATGGTCAGGATACATCTAGGATACGGCCAACAATTTTTTATTAAAAAAAACAACTTTTAACAATTAAAAATTTACTTGTTTTAATATATTTTTTTGTTACGTAACTTATATACTATGAATGTTAATAGATGCAATGATATTTGATGAAAATAGTGGATATTTAATTTGATCTATTTCAATTTTAATCAAAAAAATAATATTTGCTAAGTCTTATTATTAATATTTTTAAAATATATGCTTTATTTTTAATATATTACAACTTCATTATTATTTAAAAAATATATTATATTATTTTAATAGTCGTATCCTTGCCGTACCTGTATCCCATATTTTTTAACTTTGTCGTATCCCTGTGTCCGTATCGTATCGCATACGACACCCGTGTCCGTATCCGTGCTTCCTAGCTTGGAATATGTCATACAACATATATATCATACAATTTTCACCATGACTACACAATCAATTCTTTTATGGAAATCTACCATGAACAATCAACATAGAATCCTCTCATTCAGCAAATACTTTCTCTTGCTCCCCCCATAATAAACATATCCTGGTCTCCATTTATTTGTATTGGGAAAAGACACATAAGGCTAACAAACAGTATGGAGACCGATGAAAGTCAGCAATATGAATTCCTTTGAAAAATCTGCAAAACCACCAAAAAGTAACAAATATAGACTGCTATCCATACTATCCTCACTCTCAAAAATCCTCCTATTTAACACTTGTCCAAATGCTCTGCATGCAGAACCAAACACCAGTTTTACACATGCTTCCATAACCAAGGTAATGGAAGTACCCACATTCAATAAATTTGAATTCTACATGGATATTACTTTACATAATTCTTCGTCTTATTCTAATGAGAATGAGTTTGCTAAACCAGATGGCTAATGCTTCCAGCTTTTGCATTGTATATAATTTCAGAATGTTGGTGGACAAATCACAAAGTGAAAAACAAATCAATTTAACCATGAGACTTGCACAACATGATCAAATTGATTAAATCAATATTGTGCAAGCCTCATGATTAAATTGATTTTATTTTTCACTTTGTGATTTGTCCATCAACATTCTTAAATTTGGTGTGAGCAGGATGGAATTATCTTTGTAATGAGCATGTCTTGTAACTAAAAATGTTAGTTGTTGCACTATTAATTAGCCACGCATAGAATAAATATATGTTCCAAGCGAGAAAGACAACTAGCTTTAGGAGACGAGCATTGATGGACTGGGATACATAATACAAGCACCAGAAGTTCAAACTTTATGCATTGTGATAATTTTGAATTTAGAATTGGAGTTTTGACTTTGGTACATGACAATTAGTCTATTTATCAATGTGTTAGCATATCGCATACTGCTGTGAGAGATATCAAACTTGAACTTTTTTCTTCAACCATATTTTAGGTTCCGGGTTTGTATCACTATGACAATCATTTGCTGCAACATTTCAACAATTTCATATTTTTTTGTTCTCGTCTTTTCAAGAGTTACACTCCTAGTTTTAGAACTACATAAAGGTGTTCAAATTTCTGATTACCAGCAAATTCCGATCCAATCCTGTCCTACCCGAAAGAATCAAGTAGACCAAAGAAATATCTTTTGGTATTCCGCATAAAATCAAATAGGAATCTAGAATACCTACAAAATTTTTGTTTTCCTACCCTACCCTACCCACATATATATATATCTATACTTCTTATAAATGTCAGTATCTGAGAAAAACTTTTGATTTCCTATTTTATCACTAATTATTATAATAAAGTCAATTATACCCATCTATGAAACATGGACACACCCAAGAAGGTGACGTATCCATGTCAGACACCGACACTCTTTGGACACTCTCGGATACGTGTCCGATACTATTCATCTGTGTCCATAATTAAATAATTTTTTTTTAATTTTGGACACGTGTTTGACACTTTTTTGGTGACGTGTCCAACACTTCTTTAAAACGTTTCTACTACTAAACAATAAACATGTGTTAAAATGTGATTAACAAATTTTAAAATTTTGAGAACATAAAATTACTAATACTAGACATGTTAGAATTGTAGTCCAACTATAATAATAAAAATAAAAGAAGCATAAAAGTTAAAAAAAAAATGAGAAAATGAGAGCAATTATTTAAATTATATATTAGGTATACATTGTCTACAAAAATAATTAATGATTATTGACTATTATGATGATGTTTTAACTTAAAAATTCATACAAATTATTACACATAAGATTTACTTATCGTAAAATACTGAATCTTTTATGAATTTTACATCATTATCACTATATTTGCGATAAATTATAATGTTATATATAAAATATAATTTTTTTATAACGTATCTGTATCCTACTTTTTTGAAAAATGTCATATCTGCGTGTCATGTTGTACCCGTGTCTGTGCTTCTTAGATTAGCCACCTAAATACTTTCATCTAATTTTTATTTTTTCCTTCTATTTGACTTTCAACTAATTTTGGACTCTTTTATAAAGACATTTAAATTCTTTTGAACTTATTTATTAGTAATACAGTTATATCCAATTTTATATATTTATATGAAAAAGTAAAGTCTTATATATGTTAAATTATTATAAACATGAAGTTATCAGATTAAATTTCACGGTCAAACATATTTTATATTTTATTTTTTGGTATAAAATAATCTAATAATATTATAACCAATCCAATCAATCTATTTTATACTAATAAATTTCAGCATCTGCAAAAAAATTTTAATTTTCTATTTTATCTATAATTATTATAATAAAGTCAATTATACACACCCACATCTAATTTTTGTTTTTTACTCTTATTTGATTTTCAACTTATTTTAAACTCTTTTATAAGAATTTCTTTTGAACTCATTTATTAGTAGTACAGTTATATACAATTTTTTATATCTATATGAAAAAGTAAAGTCTTATTTATTATACACATGAATTTATCAGATTAAATTTCACAATCAAATATATGTTATATTTTATTTTTTGGTACACAATAATATAATAATATTGTAAACAATCTAATCAATCTATTTAACAAAATAAAAAATTAATAATTTTATAATATAATTAGATGTACAAATGTCTAGAGGGGTCGGAGAGATACCTAAATAAATAATAGATTAAGTACTCAAAGATTTATAGAATAAATTAATTATCCAAAAATGATTCAAAAATTAATAATTAAAAAATATATGTTTACCCGATTTCCTACCCACCGATTGTTTTAGACGGATTTCAGGTAGGAATAGTACACTTGATCAGAGGTAGAATAGGCCAAGAAAAAATTCTTCCGCAAAATATCGAGTAGAAAGATGAAATATCATAATTCCTACCCGTAGGGTAGGGTGAACACCCTAGAAGGCTAGAACTATATATCCTTATCATATTTACAGATTTCTATATTTAGTTTAGAAAGCGATAAAGCGATCAACTTAGACTTAAAGCCCTACGCAATAGTAAGTCAGACTCCACCACTCAGCATTTTATGTAAAAACAATTCTCTGGTATATTGGAAAAGATCAAACACCACCACACATAGGTGGACCTTCATCTATTTCTGAAGGGAAAGGTACAAATTTTTTTCCTAGAACACATCACACCTTTTTGCCCTATTCAAATAGGCCATTAAAAGATATCCAAATCAATTGGCCATTACATGCATTAGAACATTTCGCACTGACAGAAGAATCTCTTGCCATGAGAAATAGAACATATAATAAAATGAATATATATTTATCCCCATTTTGACTCATACAAAACTTTTTTTTTGGTCCAAACTCATACAAAACTAAGGACACATAATATAACCCTTTTTCCAACTGTGATACCATTCTCCAAGTGGTTGAACCATTGACAGGAGTTGAGAATACCGAATGCCTTGCAGACTTAAAGTATGGGCAAAATAACACGATTTCAGTAATAAGTATCCTTATAAATTACCGTTTGGATGTCATAGGTCATGAAATAAGTTCATTGGCAAATTGAAGGCAGGCATATCTCTTTATGCCTCAGCAGTAACACAAGAATTGACTGCTATGCACCCCTTTCAAAATCGAACATAGACTTCATAATCCCAAAATGCTTGTTAACTCAAAGCCATGCCAGATTACTGAGTATCACCTTTTACACTTCTCAGAATGATAAAAGTAACATGCAAGAAAAGTTAAAATAGAACAAAAAGAGAGTTGACATGATCGTCTAACACATAACAATTAAACAGATTCAGATATCCCAATAATGCATAAAAGCATGGTCATCAATGATGACAAAACCCTCACAGCACAATTCTGCAAGGACAGGCTGATAAGAAATTCATTCTAAAAAAGAGTAGATTGGACCTTACTTGGTTGCATATAAGTTGGCCCAGGCATGTGTTGGTAAATTGCTGAATCTGTCTCAACTCTGACCAGAGCTTTATCATGAATATGCTGTTCTTGGCACTTTAGCTTCAACTGCTTCCTCAAAGATAATTTCTCCAACCTCCGTTCATCTCGCTCATTGTCTGTTGCAATTCCTAGTATTGTAAATTCCATAGCATAAGATTCGAGGTTCACTTTTAAAAGAGAATTATCAAATTTCCAAAGGCTGGGTCTATTCCCATCCCTTAAATCTTAACACACCCCATTAAAACCAATAATCATCCAAATGAAATTCACTTTTCCCACACAATTCTTATATGCACCTTGTTGGTACTAGGGCGGCCACATCTACAATCACCCCATTAAAATGAAAAACAAAATATTACCACCCAATTTCACACTCTCCCTTTCTTAACTGCTCCAACCTAACCCTTCCTTCTCTCTCCCTTTCTTTTTCATTTCTCGTAAGAAGCATAATGTTAAGAAGCCTTCCTTTGCCGTACGCTTTGCCTCGAGTTGCCTCTATTGAAGAAGGTGCTTGAGTTGAACAATTACACTTGAAAACAATTTTTGTATCAAAGTTTTGATTCATGTTATAAACCAAAAAATGTACAATAACTTTAGTAGGTGATGGTTCTGGTTCATATATTCCCCTTTCCATTTTATTTCATTACTCTCTCAAATCACGAAAGAATTATGACTGCGAATAACAACCACATCCTTTAATTAACTGAAGCTACTGGGTCCTGAGAAGAAAAAGCTACTGATTCATGGAGTTGAAGGTGGAGGTGTTACACGGGGTTCACAACGTGTGTCTATATATATGATGATACATATATCACAGGATAGGTGTATGACTTGGGTTAGAGAAGAAGAGAAGGGATGAGCTAAGGTTAAGTGTAATAGTAAGGGAATGGAGTATATAAACTGGGGCTGGAATAAATTGTTTTTCATTTTAATGAGGTGGGCTTAGCATAAATGGGGGTGGGGGTAGAATGGGGTGGGTGGGAAAAGTGGATTTCTTTGTGATGATAACAGTTTTAATGGGATGGACTTCTAGATTTCAGGGGTGGGAATAGTCCCAACCATTTCCAAAACCAGATGGTTTACTAAGAAGTGACTAAGATATTCAAATTTAGATTTGAAATAAGAGTAAGTGAACCTGTGTATAAGTAGTACATATCATCCAATGCTTCAAGATTCTTGTTGCAACCACCTATAAATACAAGCACGCCTCCCTTCTGTGGATCCAAACTATCCCCGGCCATAGAAAACCTAGCAGAAGGCCCCTCGCCTGTAGCCATCACCTTGGTCCATACTCCAGTATCTGAATGAATTTGAAGCAGAAGTGAAGGTCAGGAGCTGATAAATATACAATATAATCGGATGATGTTCGAGACTGATCACCCACAAAAGTCAGACACTTAAAAATTCCAATATAACCCAAGGTATGCAAGACCAATAGTGACTAGGAGCCTGAAGTCAGTCATCCATACATTGTTTAGATGCCTTGTAGAAATGTTAATAAATTTATTGAGATAAATGTACGGGTGAAATGGTAAAATGTCAGGCTAACAACTACGATTTTATGAGTTCAAAATTTGAGAGCAGTCACTTTGTGCAAATAATGCAAAACTTTAGGGTTGTACAGAGTTTACCTCTCCCAGCACCATTGATTAATGAGGACCAAACAGGATAATGAAACATCATAGAGAAACATGCGGCCAAATAGGTATTTTAGCTCTGTTCAGTTGAGTTCATAATTGTTCTACATAATCTCCGAGAAGTGACGACTTCCACATATGAATCTCAACGCTATTAAATTTCTCCGCAACTCGGTCACACTTAAGATTCTTGGAGAAAACAAATATTTACCCTTAAGAAAACTAAACCTGCCCTCTGTCCCCCCTCAAAAGATCACTGACAGTTGGATATTTATGAAGATATATAACTGCAATCACACAATTACGTACCAACATCAAGCATATAAATGTCATCAAACAGGCTCTGCTCATCAGTGAAACCACCAAAGACAAACAAGTTCTTGCCTAAGGCAACAGCTGTATGCCCAGCTCGTGGTGGTAACAGCTCGCCTGAAGTACTCAGCTTTCCCCAAACAAGAGTATCTAATGAAACAGGGACCAACACAATAGTCACAACGAGCATATAACATATTCAATCCGAAGCTACAATCGCCAATTTGAACAAGGAATTTGCGATTTCTATCCTATATTAGCAATTTAGCAAGGAAAATTCAACAGAACGTGATACCTGCATCAAGGATATAGACATCGGACAGATAGTAATCACATGAGTCTTCACCACCAATCACAATGATTTTATTTTTCCAAGCTGAGCAAGTATGGCTGTCACGCTTGGCTGGTGGAGTGCCAGACGTTGCAGCACGTTTCCAAACAAATGTCTCTGAATGTGATAAGTATTAGCATTTCATTTGGCACTTGGCCAACTAAAACAAATTAGTAAACTGTTTCAGTGTTCAGGATCAATCCAAAACAGCCCAAATAAAATTTGTCTTATGTACCAACAGCTTTACAAAACAAGACTCAAGTAAAAAGAAAATCCCACATTAATGGGGTGCTCTAGAAAGGAAGGAAGGGGAAAGCACATTGTAACTCAACAATTTCTAAGGTTTAATCAAAATGATAAAAGAAAATGTTAGGGATAACAAAAAAAATGACAAGAAAAACAAGCAGCTAGTGTATTTTGCAATAGGTGTCCCTATGATAACCAATGCAGTATATATTACCTGTATTCAATATGTAAAGATCCTCATAGTATTCTTCATCAGAACTGTTGGAGGACTTTCCACATCCACCAAATATGAAAAGTCGTTTGCCAATAAGTGCTGCACTGTGGCCTTCTCGTGCCTCTGGTCCCTCGCCTCTTACACTTGGTGTCATCCATGTATTTGTAGCTAAGAACACACCAAACCACATCAGCAAACATAGTTCACTCTGGCAATACAACATGACAAAGAAATGAGTATGAATCAATATTTTAACTAGTTAGGAGTAGCTTTTGTTTTAGCTTGCCCCTTTCTTTTTATTGGTAAGATAGGTTGGCACCAATTTTAAAAATGTTTTTGATACCAGAAAGTAAATAACCAAGACAAGCGAATACATTTGGGACTTTAACTCCGACTCTGGCTATACTTGAACAGGCTGCAAGTTCACAAGGGATAAAAGTTTCAACCACTTCTAAAGCCGAAGGCCAGCCGTGACAACAAAAAATATAAACATAAAGAAAGAAAATAATGTTTTGAGGTCAGGCATAAGAGGCCTTCTCATGCAAGACAAATCTTCCAAATTCCAATTGTCAAACAAGCAGCTCAGTCAAAGTTTCAGAACACCGCTAACAACAACACAGGAACAATTCAATCGTTGAGCTACCAGTTTGGTCCAACTTTTGCAGCAAAACTTGACACTGAAACACAAAATGGGGACGAAATGTAGATTCCACGCTGTCACAAAGTTTAAGTTCTTCAACTATCAGTCCACTTGTCAGCTGATATCATTGTGGCTAATTCTAAACATATTACAATGTTAATTCCAACATTAAAATAACTGGAAAATTCAAAATAAATAAAAAAACAGAAATGTAGTTTAACTCACCCGTGTCCAAAATATGCAAATCCTTCAAAGGGTTCTTTCCATCAGTACCCCCAAACACAAAGAGATTGTCTCCCACTGCAGTACAGCTGTGGCTGTCCCTTGGCACAGGTGGTGTTCCTTTTATCGCCAGCAAGCTCCATGTACCCTTAACTGATTGTAACAACACACGAACCAAGGAATTTTAACGACCTTCGATACAACACCATATGACTATACAGTAAACCAATATACACATAGAAGAACCCAATAATGACTCCAGTAACAGTTAAACCAAAAACCAAAGCCAAAATATGTCAATATTTTGCAGAACCATATAAAGCACCGCATAATTTAAAAACCCTAACGATAGAAGTTTACACATTTCATTAAGTAGCCTAACAAAACCCCAAATAAACAACTCCAATAGCAACATATGGGCATTTACAAAACCCATTTGAGCATTGCCATAAACCCACATAATTTCAAACCCCAACAACACAAGCCCACAAATTTGATATATACACCCATCAAAAGCCCTCGAATACAAGATCAATACCAAAACTATTCAACAAACAATTTTAACATCAAGATTCCAATAACCATCGAAGAACGAGACTGTACATCAAATAATAATAAAAGACACCGAGAATGTGAGGAATTGCATAGAGAGACCCACCAGCGTCGAACACATGTACTTGGTTGGTCTGACAGTTATCTTTGCCATATCCACCGAAGACATACAGAAACTTGCCTCCTCTAATGGCGTTGCAAGTGTGTCCCCACCTCTTTCCAGGCCCACCACACTCCTCTGGACCACCTTTTATCTGCGACTTTTCCCACCTCATGCTGGAGGCTGAACACAAGTAGAGAGACAAAATCAGATGAAGTAAAATCTCTCACAAGAAACGAAACGAAAAGAAAATGAGAGACACGAGATGGGATTCTTGGGTTGGATACTTGGATTTGATTTTTGGGATTGGGTTTAAAGGTTAAAAAGGCTTCAGCAATTGTTACTGGTTAACGAGGATAATATTGTAAAGCGGTTGTCAACGGCGTCGTGTCGTATCCGTTTTACGTCGTGTCATTTTTTATCGTGTTATTTTCGTATCGTATCACTTTCGGTATTTGTCGAATTCGTATCGATATTTATGTTAATAAAAAATTAATTAATTTGACAACAACTAATATAAAAAATTATAAATTCTTATTTTCTATCTAAAATATTCATTAAATAATTATTTTATATTTATAGTACCTATTAATTATGTTATTCGTGTTGAACCTTAATTTGACCCATTTATTACTCGTATCAATGAATCGTGTTATTTTTGGGTTCGTGTCGAGTTCATGTTAAAGTCAAAAATTGACACCCCTAATAAAGCTACAGAGGTCATTTGCTAAATAATAAAAATTGACGATAGATATTCATGTATGGAAAATGCTAAATATACTTGAAAGCTTACTTAAAAAGTTGATTAATGAATTAGGTAGTGGGATTATATTAAAACTCAGAATTAAATCAATAATAAATATAATAATCACATAATTAAGTTAATTTTTTAAGCATATTTAGCATTGCTCTTCGTATATACGGAAAAGTTTTAGCATGAGCAAGATCAAGTAAATATTGAGCGTAAGTAGGGATGGCAGTGGGGCGGAAAAAAACAGATATTCGTTCAAACCCGTTTTTTTTGGACGAGGGATGGACTATACGTATTAGACGGTAGACGTATACGGGGATATCCGTATAAACACGTACTGGGATAAAGGCGGGGATGAACTTACCCTTACACCCGATCCGCTTTCACTACCAGTTAAATTATATATATATATATATAAACACTTTCAAGCTCTAACTAAACATATTTACTATTATTACTAATCTAGAAATATGGTAATCAAATTAAAAAGTGACATTGTTATGTGGTAATTTTATCAACTTTTTTCGCTGATTATTTTTTTTTTATTTGTGTTCACTGATTGAAATTGTTAGGAGTTTGGATTGACTATACACTAAAAACAAATAAGAGAGAGTAAGATAGTTTTGCATTTCATCGTAGGTAGAAATATTGTGAATGGAAGTTGCTGAATTTTCTCTATTAGAGTGAACTAAGAAATGAGGAGAATTATTGAATTAGCAAAATTTTAAGTTTTCATCTTTTAACATTTTATGGCTATAATAAAAATTGTAATAACAAAAAATTTTCTAGGAAACTTCAAATGTAGTGCTATCGTTTTTTTAGTTCAATTTTATTTTCCTTTTCTTCATTTCTTTCTAATAGTTTCATTTCTATTTTTCCGGTTCAATGACACTTTAAATAGAATACTATATTATTTTGGCTTTTACATTTTGCAATCTACATTATATTTGTGTTGGACTATGTTAAAATGTTGTTAGATTATTTAAAATATTGAATTTATTTAAAATTTTGGATTATGCTACTTGGGCTTAGGCTTAAGTAGGTAGGGGGGAAGCGGGGACGGGAACGAGAATTAGAAATTTACTCGCAAACGAAGATGAAGATAAAAATTATACTTGTTAACGGGGGTGGACCGGGGATGGACGAAGTTTTTTTAAACAAATACGGGGATGAAGATTATACTCTTCGTCCCTGCTTCGGTCTACTGACATCCCTAAATGTAAGGGTCACACCATAACATTAATGTTATGTGCTGTAAATATTAAATAATAAACTTATAAGCGGATAATGTAATTCCCACTTGATAAATTTCAAGAAATAAAATAAAATCTCACTTGAGGATTATTTTTAGACATTGGTTGGTTACTAATGATATGGAGGAGGGTTATTATAATACGTGGAATTTACTTGTTATACTCTTATTAAATGGTGACACTATGTGACCGTAATAACATGATTTCATTATTACACACAATATTTTTTTTGAGATAATTATATTTAAATCCCTTGTAATTTGTCATTTAATCACTTAAATTTTTTACAGTTAAAATATTACAAATAAATTCCTTAAAGTTTATGCGCGTATAACTCATAGACCCTAAAGCCATAGATCTCTATCGTCCATTAGTATCAGTTGATAAATACTATTAGACCCCTAAAATTTAAAGTGTGTTATATTTAAACCCTTTAAGTTTAAAATATTATATTTAAATTATAAATACTATAATTAGAGATAGAATATCAAATATTTAAAATTTTACAATCAAAATTCATATCCTATTATATCATTTATTAAAATAAAATCAAAAATAATAATTTATTTTAAAAAAAATTGTAATTAGTAGTGTTGATTCTGAATTTTAGATGACCTCCACACCAATTTGTTGAAATTTTGTCATCTGAAAAAGTAGTCAGAGACTGGAGGGGAGTTTCATAGGTCGACTTTTTGATGCCTAAATTAGTAAGTGACTCAAAGACATGAATTGAGTTTAGAAGTTATAAGTGACATTGAATATCTTGGATTAAATTGACTTTTCACCTTGGGTCAATTTTTTTTATCATCAAATATAAATATATGAAATAAGTCTAATCAACATATTTGCATGTTCCTTTATATCATCCAATGACAAAAAATTTAAACAAAACCTCAAATTTTTGAGGAAAAAAAAAATAATTAGTATAAATATATCAAATAACTCAATTTAACACTCATTTTTATACAAATATACTATCTATTAGAATAAAACTAAAAAAATCAAGTAATGGATCAAACTCTAATGGACACAATATATTCTATTTTTAATTGAACTACTTTAGTCGTCTTATAAATTTCGTTAATTTTATAATAATAAGGAGTTTAAGTGTAATATTTTAAACTTAATATGTCTAAGTATTGTAAGCCTATAAATTTTAGAGGGTTTGACGGTAATTTATTAATGACATGAGTTTAAATGTTACATGCGTACAAATTTTAAGAAGTTTGTGTATAATATTTAAAATATCAAAGTATCTAAATGATTAAATAACAAATTTTAAGGGATTTAAATGTAATTATCCCTATTTTTTTGTGGGAGATCACAAACTCACAAGAATTGGGCACGTGGAGCATAGCAGAAGTACTAAATGTAGGACCCATGGTTAAGACTGATCCACGTGCGACCATAACGACTATGGATGATAATTTTTGACATAATACATTTACACAATAATGGGATCCCTGACCAAATTAACGGGCTAATGACGGATTAGTTTTTATTATAAATTTGAAGTAAACATGAATAATAAACGAGTTGGATTAATGTTAAACATTAACTATTTAAAATTAATATGATTAATACATTTAACAAGTATTATATGAACAAAATGCCAAACTTTTGTTATTTATGATTAAATATTAACATGAATTCTTATAAAATAATAAACAAATTTTAATTATTTTTACTATCACTAGCAATGCACCACGTGCGTTGCACGTGAATATTTATTTGTACCAAAAAATTAATAAAACATATTAGGGATATGTGTTTTTATATTAAATATTATCTCAAATTTATCAAACTTAATTTTTCACTGCTCATATTCTATTATACGATTATGAAAATTTTGTCTGTTCCCAAAATTTTTTGTTTTAACTATAAAAAAAAAAAGAAAAACTAATAGTTAAATTTCTATTGTTTTTAGAATTTTGCGATTGAGATTGATTTTTCACTGACGTCTGAGAAATTAAATTTTTTGAAATTCATTTAATTAGGATTCTAATTATAATTTATTTAATAAAATAAAAGTAATTGTCAATATACTAATCACATTAGAATCTTAATGTAATTAGGAATTAGTTGAGTCAATTGAGATAAAATTTAAGATACTACAATTTCTCGTACTTATGTTTGTATCAAAATGCATTTCTTGGATATAAATTGTGAGACATATTTTCACACCTCATTAGAAGTAGTTGCTATTCAAGAGTCGTCGTACTCATACAATATTTAACATTTTCAGTTGAGGAACATTGTGAGGAGTAAGCTTATAGGCGTAGATAACTTGAAGATTTATTTTATTGTATGATTTTAGGAATTAGTATCATTTATGATTCTTTGACAATTATTTAATTATTTTGGGAATAATAGTGTTTACAATTGAAGTTGTAGACCTTATGGTTTGACTATAGTTCTATTTGGATTTAATAATGATGTTTAGTTTATTCCTCTAATATTCAATAGGTAAGTGGAGTGAATCACTTTATTATTTGTCTGTCGTTATCTTTTGAATTTACTATACACAAGATTGATTGGTTAAGTCATTGGTGGCCGGTTTGTCACCCACACTATGTGCTCTAGGTTTGGGTTGTGATATCAAGCATATGTTAGAAATTGACTCCCAAAAAATCATATAATGGGTGGTTATTTTACTCACCCGCTATACCATTCCTCCACTTGAAGAGAAAAGTTCATATAAGATATAACCCCCTTCTCCCATCCACATACACATCTTATATTAGGTGGGATTACACTTAATAGTGGTCTGACCAAATCAAAATTCTTAGCCAACTTGTCCAATCACACCCACTGTCTTCCTTTTGTGTAATAAAATCAAAATTAAACACAATTTTTGTTAAATAGATATATATACAATTGAGATCTTATTTTCAATTTTTTTATTCACTAATAATTAAAAACATTGAGGGCTATTTGGTCACTCATTCAAAATTTGATCATATTTTGTTATTTTTTTACTACAATTGCGTTTGAACGAGCCAAAACTAAATCAAATCCAAGTCGAGCTCAAGCAGCTTGGTTCATTTAACACACCGATGTGTTGCTCAAATAAGTGCAATTCTCAATTATAGTTTATATCAACCAAAATTGATCCTCAATTAGAGTTCCTAGTTAGTCAAAAAATAGCTCCCATAGTCAACTCCCACAAGT